GTCACTGGACCCCCATGTGGCCCACTTTGGTTTGAGTTCATACCTCGTGGCTTAAAACTCACTCTTGCACAGCGAGCTCCAAACCTGGCCCTCTGGACCTCGGAGGTCACCAAGATAAAAGGTCAACAGGACGGACCCTGCCCCGCTGCAGCCGCCCCAGGCAGGCTTGCTTTCTGCAGCTGGAGGCGCCCCTCCGCCTTTCGGAAAACTCACTTGCAGGTGTCGATTTTAAGTAAACAGCTGCCGAGAGGCAAGTGTGGCTTTGGTGTGGGCCTGTCCTGAGAGGTCTATGTGGCTTCACGCTGACCCTCGTGGACTGGCTGGCGGAGGGCAGGCCCTGCTTCAGCTCCTTCCCCGCTGTCTGTCCCATGCTGGGCCCCGGCTGCGCACGTGAGCCCACTTCGTCCCTCCGGGGCCCCAGGAGATGGGCGCTGCTTTGGCTTCAGTCTGCAGATGAGGTGGGTGGGGCCAGAGCCTTGCGAGTGGGCGTCTGCCGCACTGGGGCCATTGTGTCTGGCGGAGACAATCTCTGCCCCGAGGGGACGGGATGACTGACCATGTAGTCTTCACCGTGTATATCTGACGTCAGTGACCTTCTTATGCATCGTGGAGGGGTTGTGGGGGGCTGGAGAGGGCAGCCTTTCGGTGTGAGACGCCCGCATCCCTCTTGTTTCATCCCGTCCTATGGCGGCTGGAGCTCTCGGCCGGGCGGACGCTCCTGTGGACGCTCCTGGCGGAACTCTCAGCTACACATGGACGTGTGTGTGTGAGAGGGTGGCCTCCTGGGAGCCTGGCCGGGCTGCCCCTGCTGAGCTGGGTGGCTCCAGGGGCCTCTCCCCGTCGAGGACATCACCCAGCCTGCGGCCGCCTGCTACCTGTGCCGTTTTCTCCCCAGATGATCGTCCTGTGAGAGAAAGTGAGCGGAAGGCTTCGCAGCTGCATTTTGCATCAGAGGACTCCCTCGACACCAAAGAGAGCTGTCTGGCCGCCGTGGGAGTTGGCAGGTGCGGACAGAAGTGGCGCTGAGGAGATGCGGTTCTCGGGTAGCCTGTTGCCAGTAGGAGCCACGATCTTGAACTTTTGTCCGCACATGGCAGAGGGGACCACCAGGGGTGCTCCAGGGTCTCTTAAATTTACTGTAAGGCACATGGGCTCATTCATCCGAGAGAGACAGAGAAAGCGAGAGCGAGAGCGCACCCCGGTGGGGGGTGATGGCTAGCTGCAGTCCTCCTTTCTCTTCTCGGCCTCTCGGGACTTGGGCATGCATGCACGTGCTCCTGGTGTGCTTTTGAAGCCACCGGGTCCTGGAGTCAAACCACACAGTGGCCGTGCGGGGTCCAGCCATCTTCACCACCACAGCTAGCCCTCGGGCTCCCTCCTGACCCGACTGCCACCTGAAGGCCTAGCCACTGACACTCACTTCAGCGAGGATCTCAGCCTGTTTCAGGGACACGTCGTCGTGTATCTTAGAGCAGGTTTAGGGTTACGAGAACACTGAGCAGAAAGTACTCTTTCATCCCCTCCCCCTCAGTCCGCGCCCCCATTAGCATCTTTTCCTCTTCCACTGACACACGCAGTATCACACTCATGGACCGGATGCACGGACTCCTTCCCCACACGCCAAGCAGCTCTGCCCTCTGTCCTCTAATCGCACTCACCCGGTCCCGCAGGCTGAGGGCTGGTCTCAGACTGCCCCGCTGACACGGTCACAGGTAGCGGGCTGTCGCCTGCACTTCTGACCAGCCAGCTCAACTCTCGGGACCAGCACATGGCGTGATGGCCTCTCATGTACAACCATGTTTCGAGTTCCAGACCCCAGCATCTTAATACTCACGCCGGGCGCGTGTGCGTGTGCGTGTGTCCAACATCCCAAGAGGAGAATGGAGGAGAAGGGATTGCGGCGTCCACAGGGGATAAAAAATAAAAAACTATTTCCATCTGTGATCTTCACTGACCAAGGCAGACCTCTCTATTTTGGTGTGTTTGTTTCTTCCTTCAGCTGCAGCCTTGGGTCCCTGCATAGCTCCGAGGTTATGGGCTTCATAGTTGCTGTTGATGCCTATCGTGGGGCATGTGTGCACTGAGTCCAGCACAGTGGCCATTCACCCTCTCGGCCCTGTGAGCATCATGTTCTCATTCCCCAAAGGAGCTAGGGGTCCAACACCGATCTGAAGCCGTGGCCTCACAGATGCCATTAAACACAAGGTTTTCAGACCTGAAATATGGAAACAGTGGCAATTGGCAGATGAAACCACAAGAGAAGAGGCCCGTGCTCTGCCAGGTCCTACCGAGTGATTTTCAGACTTCAGCTCACTCTGGTGTCCGGAGCTTCTCTGTGAGCACAGCGCCTACTGTTACCACACAGAGCCCAGCTCACGCCAGCATGCGAGAATCGGGGCGGAGCCGCCGGCGGGGGCGGGGCGGGGCGGCCTGTGGGTTGACTTTATGGTGCCTTGAAGTCTTTGCTATGCTGTTCTTTTTTTTTTCCATTCTGTTTTCTTCCTGTTCCTTGGACTGAAAAATTTCAGCCGCCTATCCTCAGGTTTACTAAACCTCCTGCTGCTCAGACCTTCCACAGAGCACTTCCGGGAAGTCTTCGTCTCAGCGTGCTTTTCTGGTCTGCTGTTCCTACTGTTTCTGACTATTTTTACATTTTCTGTCTCATCATCCGTTTCTCTGTTTTGTGAGAAATGTTGTCATGTTCTGGTTCTTTGGACATGATTTTCTCTAGGTGGTGAGCATATTTGTAATTGCTGAAAAGTTCTTTGGACAGTGTAATACTTGGACTTCGTCAGACAAAGTTTCTGCTGTTCCCTTCCCCTCTCTCCCTGTGCACGGTCCATGTCTCTCTGTCTCTTTGTGCCCTCTCCATTCTGTGGGTAACTGGGTATTCTGAACATTGCAGTGTGGCAGCTCTGGAGATCAACTTCTCCTGGTTCCCATCTGGACCAAAATATCAGCCCATCTCTGCTGGAGTTGGGGGCAGCCCCTGACACTCAGTGGGCAGCACCCGCCTCTGCTCCAGCCTGACCCCTGGCCCTTGCAGAGCCCCCAGGTCCCCCCTGACCTGCGCACAGCCTCCAAGCCCCTGGAGCTAGTGGGCGCTTCCCTAAGCCTTTGGAAGACTCCAGGCTTTTCTTCTAGTTCCTTCCAGACCGAGTACTTATCAGACAGGCCAAGTACCCATGTACCCATCAGGTAGGCCGAGTACCCACCAGGCAGGCTGAGTACCCGAGTACCCATTAGACAGGCCAAGTACCCATCAGACAGGTTGAGTACCCAAGTACCCATCAGGTAGACCAAGTACCTGTGTCCCCTTCAGGCAGGCCAGGTACCCATGAGGCAAGCCACGCACCCGTCAGGGAGGCTGAGTACTTGTGTACCCATCAGGCAGGCCAAGCCCCCATCCGACAAACCGAGTACCCATCAGGCAGGCCACGCACCCATCAGGCAAGCCAAGTACCTGTCAGACAGACCAAGTACCCAAGTACCCAAGTACCCGCAGCAGCTGGGCAGTGACCATCGGAGCATCACCCTGTGAGGTGTCAGCCCCTCGCCTCTGCAGCTGTCAGGGTTCCCAACCGTGAAGTCGGGGAAATGCTGCTAGCCCTGTGCTCCCATCCAGGGCGATCAGAATGCGCTGATTGCAGGTTCTGTGGACAGGGTGCTGTGGCTCTAGCCCTGGGTGCGGAAGTTCTAATGCAGGCTGTTCGTGGTTGGCTGTGGGGGCGGGACAGGAGGGGCCTGTGCAGGCTGGAGCAGTGCTGTCACTGTCCTCATTGAAACGGCTGCTCCTCTTGGGCAGCTGCTTCCTGGGTTCTGTGAGCCTTCGGTTAATCTTTAGAGTTCCACTGAAGACACCTCTGACATTTTTCTCCCTGTTGTCATTGCTGTTGAGGAGGGGCAGAGTTTAGAGGTCCTTTCTCGGCCATTCTTGCTGACAGTACTGAGTACATTTTTAGTTTCTGATTTATAGGACTGTTTCAGGTTTCTTTTGTTTTTTGACAGAACATGCATGAGAAAAAATATAAACATTGCTATTCAGTGTGGTCGGGCATGGAGAACTGTAGTCAGCAGACGTGTCACTAACTCCTGGACTCACTCACTTTGTGGTATGATTGTGGCAGATGTGGAGACGAAGTGTGTGTCGCCTTCCCTGCCCCGCCCACCTGTCCTCGGAGCTGGCAGCGGCCCCTGGACGTGGACTCCCCACTCGCCTTCGTGCGTGTAGACGGGCTGTTTTATGGGAAATGGCTGTTCAGGCCACACAGGGCTCTCCGTGTCCAGATTGTTAGGATGTAGCACATTTGACATCGACGTGATAGTGAACGTGTGAGGTGAGGTACACACAGGGTTTGCTTTGGGAACGTTCGGAGTCACCCTGTTGGTGTGTCGGTGCTTTCCTTGGGAGCACCCCACTTGGATGGCCACCAGGGTCTGTGCTGGGAGAGGACTCCTGCAGAGCCTTGTGAGCGTTGAGGCCTCAGGAGCACAGTCCCTGGTGCGGGAGGCGCGGCCGGCATTCCGGCATCCCCATGTTGCAGTCAGGGTGAGGACACCTGCCCTGAACATAAACAGAGGCATCTGGAACCTCACAGCCTGTGACCTTTCTCTTAAGCCGGAGGTTGTGAGGGTACGTGTGTGTGCACAGGAACTTGAGAGTAGGAGTGAGGGTGCAGCCACAAGGGCGGCCATGCTGTGGCTTGGGTGCATGTGTACCTGGCTGTTTTTAAGTTGCCAAGGCCAGGACTTGAACCCTGAGGGGCCACGTGGGGTCCCGTTTCCTCTGTGTGGTGTTTAACGGTGGAGCCACAGGGCCAGCCCTCCTTTCACTTCTTGACCACCTGTGTCCCTTGTGGATATGCTAAAAGGGGCAGGTTGGATTTCCATCTTCTGGGAGGTCTCAGCACAGAGGAGTTTTCCAGAACACCCTTTGTAGCCATGCTGGTGGGGTGGCCTAACATGCTGTCTACACCAGTTGCTCGTGCGAGTCCTCTGGGGGCACTGTGGTTTGGTAATCAGACCCCCGTCCTGCAGTTGGACCTGGCCTCCTCTCACAGGCCTGGCGGGCGTTTCTCTTCCCAGGGTCTGGTGGCCAGAGTAGACTGCCACTTGGGGTGACACTGACCGCTTTGCTGTCCTTGCAGACCAGGCCACTTGAGAGGCAGGTGTGCCCACACCCCGGCCAGTGCATGCTTGGCCATGGACGCGGACGACGAGGCTGTCCTGAACCTCATCGCCGAGTGCGAGTGGGATCTCAGCAACCCTCCTGGCAGTGCAAGCTCCACGCAGGAGTGCGAGGCCGACTGCTACAGCCCCAAAGGTTTGTTGCCCAGCCCATGGTGCTGGTCCTGCGGCCGCATGGCCTGGCATGTTGGTCATCACTGGCTTCAAATGCACGGCGCAATTTCTTTTTGGAGAGGTTTTTGCTATAGGGCACGTGCACTCTCCAGACAGACAGAGACAGAAAGTGAGAAATCACCCCCCGGGGGGATGGTCACGCCACAATCCCTTCTCCTCCATCCTCCTCTCGGGATCTTGGGCACGCACGCACACGCACCCGGCATGAGTTTAAGCCACTGGGTCTGGGACTTAAACTGCAGCCGACTACGTGGGAGTGCAGTGACACAGCCATTACGCCACCTGCTCGTCCCACGCAGACTTACCTGTGAGGATAGGGTCTTGGCGAAGCCTCTGTGTCCTTTGTCCAGCTGTGGTGGGAACTGCAGGGCACACAGGAAGCACGTGTGCAGGCAGGTCTTGCTGGTGGTATCGTGAGCATGTCCCGCCCCAGATCAAGGGGAAGCGAGAAGCCCGATGCAGACAGGAAGGGCATGTCCTGGGTATGGAGAGTGCGAGGGGGAAAGCCGAAAAGTGAGAAATCACCCTCTGGCAGGGAGGGCCACACTGCAGACCCCTCCTCCAGGGTCCTCTTGAGATGGGGGGCATACACGCACATGCATGCAGTGGGGTTTCCAAGCCACCAGGTCAGGACCCAGAACCGCTGTGTCGGCCATGGGCTCCAGCACCCTGATGGTCATGCTACCTGACCGACCTCTCTTTGGGTTTACATGTGCATGTGTGCTGGGGGCCGGGGGCGCCCTGTGGCCTGGTCCCTCCACAGCACGTCCCCACTCCCCTCCATCTCCGGATGTTAGGCATGTGTGCACATAAGTCCAACATGTTGATCAAGCCTCTGGCTGTGGGACTCAAACCCCACAGTGGGCCGCGTAGGACCCAGCGCCATGGCCACCATGCTAAGCAGGGCCCGTGCTTACTTCTTACAAGAAGCTGAGCTGAAACTGCGAAGTTGGGACCTTTTGAACCAATGGCCATGTCCAAAGTCTTCCTGCCAGGGCTGAGCTTCCCCATGCCCACCCCTCAGGGACCTGCTCTCCCCTGGGACTCGCTAGTGAGCTTTGGGCCCGTAGTCCCGTTCTGTTCTGAGTTTCTGAGAGCTTTTCATGAGCACACGGGTTGAGCTGTGAGCCTCCAGATTCACCTGCGGCATGAAGACACCTGACTGGACCGAGCGCAGTCATGGGCGGGAGCCCCGCCCCCCGTCCTCCCCGGTCCTCGGTGTGGCTGGGAGCCCCCCTCTGTCCTTACCGGCTCACGACGTAGTCAGGAGCTCCCTCTGTCCTCCGCAGCCCTCGGTGTGGGCGGGAGCCCCCCCCGCCCCCCTGTCCTCCCCGGCCCTTGATGTTGCCAGTCCCTGTCATGGCATCCCACGGCTCAGCTCATATGTCCCTGAGCACGCTGACGCGTTTTGGAAATGTGTCTTCTGTAGGATGCTTCTCTTCTTCAGACCCCACCTCTTAGCTTGGAGCTGCCGTGCACACGCTGCTTAGAGACAGGCACTGCAGTCCTGTCAGTGCTGTTCCATCCCATGTTCAAGAGCGGGGCTTTCATGTTGGTGCAGCTCTCGGTTCCTTCTTGAATGGCCTGTACGTCTTGTGTCCTGTAAGCACTGTCAGGTTTTGCCTGTTTGTCACTGACCCCTGCGGTCTCGGGTGGAGACGGGCCACTTGGCAGCTGTAGCCTCGTGAGTGTGCTGTGAGTCGGTGGTCAGCCCCGAGGGCCGGTGGTCCCTGCTAGGTGTCGAGACTGTTCTCACTTCGTTGATCCTCACTTCGTTGACCCGAGTCTGTCTCGAGGACCTCCTTTCACTTTTCTAAGTTCATCCATTTTATTGAGAGAGAAGTAGGCGCCCTCACACTGTGACCCTCTCCCCAGCCTCCCAGCTGCCAGGCTCGTGGGTGCGCCAGCTCGTCTCAGGGCGACCTGGCAGCCAGGCCAGGCTCGTGCAGGGCTGCAGCTTTGCAGGGCAGCTCCACACCTGTGCCACCGCCTGGCCTGGGTTCTCTCTACAGTCTGGGAGCTGTCGTCTGCACCGCACTGTGTCCAGACCCCGGTGCTTTGCCAGGTCTCGTGGTCTGGTGTAGGCACCCCTCCACCCTCTCCTGACGGCTGCAGACCTGAGCCGGCACCTGCCGCTTCCTCAGCCCACCCAGTCACTGCCAGACTTGGTGGGTTCAATACATGCCACTTACTCATGGGAGCTGAAACACAACTTCTAATGAGACGAGACCTTTACAGTGGCTTTCAGTAAACCGGAGCCCAGATATCCGCTGAGCCCTCAGTCCATGCAGCACCAGCGTGGGGACTCCACCCAGGGCCACAGGAGAAGGAAAAGCCACCCCCGAGGGCGCTGCCCAGAGAAGACACTGCAGAACCCTTGCAGCGGGGAGCCCGAGGCCAGCTGCTTGTTCAAGCCCCGCGCCCACTTCACCCCCTACCCAGGTGAGCACACGCCCCATGCTCTGGCCGCCCAGCTCACAGCATCGTGAGCACCTGCATCCCGTGGTGTACCAGAGCCCTGCCCCAGGCGTCCAGAGCTCCCCTCTGCGGTGCCCAGGCTCACATGATCCTCTCTGCACACGCGATCCCCTTTGCGGTGCCCGTGCACACGCGAGCTCCTCTGCACACACGATCCCCTCTACGGTGCTTGTGCACATGCGATCCCTCTGCGTATACCCGTGTACATGGTGTGTACTTTGCACACTCAAGCTCCCCTGCACACGTGAGCTCCCCTGCTCATGCAAGCTCCTTTGCATGTGCTCATGCACACGTGATCTTCCCATGTGCACAGGTTTAGGGGTGACACTGCTTATAGCTTTTAAATCAAAGGTGATCAAGGCATACCATTCTGCATGTCCACATGGCGTGTGGGAACCTCCCCATGAGTGGCTTATTCATGCCTCGGGGGCAGGATGGTGGGTGGAGGCCCAGCCGGGGCAGACAGTGGCCACCTAGATTTGTGGATGGGGTGCCACTCCCCTCTGCTGTTGCCCTGGTCCTCCCCGGACCCTCGCAGCCGCTCTCGCCCCTGCCCCCACCTGGTGGCCAGTGTGGTGTCCAGGGCTGCTGCTCCTCTGCCGCCCGCAGTTTCCTGCGAGCCCTTCGAGCCGCGTGCCCGTGCTTTCCTGGTGCCCACAGACCCGAACAGACCCCGGCTCACATCCGAACTCTTCCACCCCTGGTGTGTCCACATGCCACTGTCAGGTGTGCATGGGTGTACACTCCAGCGCATGTGTGCGCTCACGGCATGTATGTGTGTGGGCGTCCACATGTGCATGTACACACACTCCTTTTCTAAAACAGCAGCACTGACCACTGAGCCCCGTTCTGTTATAGACTCTGTGATGGAGGACGTGGCCTCCTCTTCTCAGAAATCAAGTTTGTCAACATGGCAGGTGTCAGAACCTCTGCCCACGCCCGAAACATGCAGAAAGACCCGAGGGCCTGGCGGGAGAGCCCAGGAGTGCCCCAGCCACCTGGGGAGGACCAGTGGGCCCCCCAGCCCTGAGGGGAGCCTGAGCACACCACGCAGATCGGAGAGCAGAAGCGAGGGGGCTTCTTCTCGCCCTGAAGCCTCAGAGACTGACATGCAGAGCCAGTCCTGCGGCGTGAGCGCGAGTGACTGTGGAGAGGTGAGTTAGGAGGGAGGACAGGTGTGCTGGCCAGCAGGGACAGTATTGGCGCAGCAGCCCACCCTCGGCGTCTCCGGGACCCCAGAGCCAAGGCAGCTTCAACGCCCTCTGCCCTGGTGTTGCCAACAGTTTGCCGCCATGCTCCATGCGGGTTCCAGACATGGCACAGGGTGGCAGGCGGGAGAGGCTCGGCCACGCCGCTCACGAGGACCTCGTCCGTCCCCAAAGTCACAGCTCATAACTTGGCCACTAGGGCCATCAATGACCCTCTGAGGGACAGCCCTGAAGTGCATCCTGTGGTTCCGAAGGTTCATCCTGATGAGGAGCTGAGGTCCTCTCCCTCTGAGTCACCTGGAGGGACATGGTGGCCTTCCCACTGCCTCGGCAACCAGCACTGGGGTAGTCTATGGGCCACGTGGTGACACGTCTGAGCACACATGGGCCCAGGACGTACAACTGGCCCGAGCAGGGGTCGCGCGTCACTGGGTTTGGCTAAGACTCAGAGGCAGGCAGAGAGCGGGAGGGCCCCAGTGAGGAAGGGGAGGCTGGAGAGCCCAGTGGGGACCCAGGGAGCTTGATGCGGTCAGGGGAGCCGGTGGGGGCCGGGGGAACAGAGGTGGCTGGTAGGAGCAGGGCTTCCCGGTGGTTGGCTAGGCTGATGGGCCTCAAGGGGGTCCTGAGCTGCGCGAGAGGCAGAGGGAGGCGGCAGAGCGGGTGCTGGTTATTGGGGGCCCACAGCGGTTCTTGTCGGGTTTCCTGGGCTGTATGCAGAGTCCTGGGAAGGACATGCTGGCGCTTTGCCTATGCTCAAGTGGAGGGCATGTGGCCTGCCAGTCTAGACTCCACCAGGACCAATGGCACCAGGCGCAGGGCCACGGGGCGTGGGGCTGGGCTTCGTGGCAGGTGCTGCGTTGTCCCCTCTCCCCTGGGTGCTGGTGCCCAGCAACTCCCTGTGGTGAGGGCATCTGTGAGGGAGCCTGGCCCAGGACTGACAGTGTCTGCTTTGTCTCCATTGTAGCCGCCCCCAGCATGCTCGCCTGCGCGGCCCAGGAGGAAGGCTACCCCCGAGGCTGCGCTCCTGCAGGCCCTGCTCAACCTGGTGGATGGGTACTGGGGCAGCCACAGGCCCCTGCAGAGCCATGCAACTTTCCTTGGTGAGCAGGGGACAGAGAGGTGCCATCAGTCTGCTTGTTCAGGTCCTTTGACGTGCTCAGCCTGGGGCGCCATGCCGTTGTGGGACTGTTTCAGTGTTGGGTGTTTGACGAGTCCCCGTGGACAGTCCGCCCCTCATGGGCAGTGCCTTTGGGAGGTGCCACGCAGGACCGTGGCTGTGGGTCCCCACCTCCTGGTGCTATGGGGTTCAGAAAGCACCTTGTTCCCTGGTTTGCTGAAAACTGTCCACGGTGTTTGGTCCTAGCTGCTCTGGGTCCACAGCGTTCAGAGAGCTCAAGCTGCACCGGCCCGCCTGGTGCTCTCCGAGCCCGTGGCTCGTGTGCATGCCCAGTTGTGAGAGCTTCGGGGGGTGGCGGGCACAGGAGGATGACCCTTCATCGAGAGGGCGCGCCGATGCAGCAGGCTCTACCCAGTTGGTTCTCTGCGAGTTGGGGGCTGTGACCCTCAGTGTCTACTGGAGCTGGGACTTCCTGGCCCGCCCTCCCTGGCAGACCCCAGGCAGCACTGAGCTTGGTGTGGGGGCCCCACAGCCCCTCCCGCTGGGGTTGGGGTCCCCTGACTGCTCAGCCCCAGACCCTGACCCCAGGAACATGTGTCCTCTAGTCAGGCCTGTCTCGGCCTGTCCAGGCTGCCCAGGACACGCAGAACGGGGAGTCACAGAGCAGTATACCAGTCCTGCAAGCACAAGGGCACAGCGCCAGCCTCTGCTCGGCCTCCGGCGAAGGCCTCCCACGGCACCACGCTGGGAGAGATGGATGGCGGCAGGGCCCTCCATGACAGTCCCGTCTGTGATGACCCCTCCCTGCGCTCAGCTCAATCCGTGCGGAGCCTCGCGCCTCCTGGAGACCCTTCGTGCTGCTTGGCTGGCCGTGACTTCCCAGCATGGAGCTTTCAGAGACATCTGGACCCTCAGGGCTGGTGTCTGGAAGGGACCCCTGGCTCGTCCTGGGCTTGAGCTGCTCTGCCGTGGCTGGCGTTGGAGCCTGTCACTGACGTCTGCTTGGCCTGCCAGGCCAGCGGCACCCACATGCATGTTCTGACAGAGCCACAGCGGCAGTGCGCTGGCCTGTTCCCCACGTGGGGGTCCCGTTGTGTCTGTCCCCCACCGCCCCACCCTGCTGCAGCTGGACGGGAGAAACCCTTGCCGGTCAGCCTGTGCCCTCTGTGCTCGTCTGGGTTGGGCTGTGGCAGCGCTCTTGCAGTGCATCAGGGTGTCCAAGATGTAGACACAGTAACCCGGTCGGTCTCCGCTCCCAGCACAGGCCCGGCACATCCTGTCATCTGCAGGAGAGCTTGCAGCAGCCCGGGACACGGCCACAGCCGTGAGCGAGGAGCTCTGCCAGAGTCTGGAAAACGGCACCTTGCCAGGCCACCCTGCCGAGCTGCAGCAGCACTCCAGGCAGACGGCCGACATGCTGGCGGCACTCAGCAGCACGCGTGGGGAGATGGTGAGCACGGGTGCGTGGGCGCGGCTCACCCGGGACACGCTTGGCGGCTGCTCGTGCCCCCGCCTTCTCCTCAGGGCCACAGGGCCAAACCACAGGACCCCTGTCTGTAGGGTGCTGCCTGACCCTGTCCTCACGCCCGCTTGCCCCCAGCCCCTTGGCCTTCTCTTCTGGGGAGGGCTGTGGGGATGCCGTGCTGGGGTAGACACAGGCCCAGGCCCCAGGCCTCCAGATTGATGAGAGAGTCCCGACTCGCCGGCCCTGAGGTCCCTGTGGTCCCTGCCTGCCTTCCAGGCCAGCCGTGTTGTCCTGTTCATGCTAGGGGCCTCTGTCACCAGGTGGCGCCCCAGGGCAGTGGGAGCCCTCCTGCCTGGACCTCGCAGCCCGCTGGCCGGGGCTTCACTGTTTGGAGTCAGCATGGACAGGTTGCCTTACGTGGTCCGAGGCTGGGCAGGTTCCTTACCCCCGTGTCAGCGATTATTCTGCGTATCAGGTTACCCCAAATGAGCGGCTTAAAGCACACCTTGGCCCACCTTGGTGAGGCAGTCACCAACCACTCGGGAGGTGGAGGCCGCACAGGAAGCCTAGGTCCAGTTCCTGGGCTGACCCAAGCATACTCGGCCTGGGGGTGCACACCCGTGACCCCAGCTCATCGGGGCTGGGGCTGGGGCAGGAGAGTGTCTGCGCAGCCTCAGGGTCACAGCAGTGGCAGTTCAGGGTCCACCCCAGGTCGACCTGCGTGAGTTCTGCGTGTGTACCGTGGTCCTGGCTGCCAGGAGGCTGGGGGCATTGTGGCACTTCTCTCTCTGTGTATCTCTTTGTGTCTCTCTGTCTCGTTCATAAAGGAAGCACAGGTACTGCCTCCCGTGTCTGAGGGTCAGGCCTCAGGGTGGCCCAGTTGGCCACAAGCACTGCAGGCCGGGCTGCTGTCTCAGCTGAAGACCTGACAGGCCAGTTCACTTCCAGGCTTGCTCACGGGACGACACGGGCTGAAGGGTTCCCCGGAGGGAGGCCAGGTCACGACCTGACTGAGAGTGACGTCTCATCCCCTCACAGAGCCCTGTGGCCACCCGGAGGGAGGGAGCGCGTGCACAGCTGGGGTGACCGGGCCTCACATCTGCCCACCCGTGCCCTCTGCTCACCTGTCACCTCCCTTGTGAGCGGGGAGCTAGAAAACCACAGGGTTGCTGGGAGACGCCGAAGCTGTACAACAGGGTGTCCGTGTCAGGGACCCGCCATGTCAGAGATCCCGCCTGGCTCTGTCCTAGGGAAGAGCAGTGGGCCATGCAGGCCGCCTATGCTGGCCAGGCGAGCCCTGTCCCCTGGTGGGCCTCCTGGCACGGTGAGCCCTGGCTGGATCCCGAGGGGCTTGGCACGGCCTGCTGACGAGACCATGGCGGCTCCTGTCGGGCGTGTGCAGACGTGAGGGTGCACTCGTCCCCCTGCTGAGTGGGCAGACAGCCCGATACTGTGGTATGGGTGCCCTGCACCCCTGCAGCCTGACCACCCTAGGTGAGGAGTGGTGTCACGGGGACCCCCAGAGAGGAGGGTGCTGCTTTCCCCGGAGAATGTTATCCCACAGCGTCTTCCTGCGTCCTCAGAGTGAGGCTGCTCACCCCAGGGCTGGTGCACTGAGGCTGTGTGTGTGGCCCTGGGAGTGGGGTGGAGGCCCCTGACCTCTGACCTCGCCACCCTTAGTGCCACGGTCTGGACTCCAGGCTCACCCTATCTTCCAGGGCTTTCTGTATAGCCTGAGCTCCTCAGAGAATGTCATAGACTGACCTCAGAGGAGGCCTGGGGTGAAGAATTTGGAAAGACACAGTCTGGGATCCCACGTCGGCTTCCACCACCTGACATGGGGTGCCAAGGGCTCATGGGCAGGAGGACTCGGGCCCTCCCTGCGCCATGTGCCCTGGGGTCGCAGTGCCCGAGACGGGGAGTGCCTTAGGTGGAGGCCGCTATGGTGCCGGGACCTCAGGAGGGCCTGAGCCCGGCTCCCACCTGTGAGGGACCTCTCCCGAGCGCCTCGTCTGCAGCCGGGGCGCGGAGGCAGGGCCTGGCTGGCAGGTGCGAGTGGAAGCCGGGGCCTGTGGGATTGTCCACGATTGCATTTCGTTTTCTGTACGCATTTGACCAAGTCAGACTTCATTTTAAGTGGATTTCTCTGTTTCCTTAGGATGACTTGAGACAGCACTTAGACAGATCTTCGGAGGAGAGTAGTAGCCTGCGGTCCCTTCTCAGCAGCATGAAGGCGGAAGTGCAGACCACAGGCACCACCACCGCCTTACGGGCTGAGATCACGGGTGAGCGGTGGGCGCCAAGGGGTCTCCGGGGAGGTGCGTGTGCCCGGTGTGTGAGGGCGGGCGTGGTCTCACCCCTGTGCCCGGTGTGCGAGGGCGGGCGTTGTCTCACCCCTGTGCCCGGTGTGCGAGGGCGGGCGTTGTCTCACCCCTGTGCCCGGTGTGCGAGGGCGGCTGGTCTCACGCCTGATGCCGGGGTGCGAGGGCGGTCGTTGTCTCACCCCTGTGCCCGGTGTGTGAGGGCGGGCGTGGTCTCACCCCTGTGCCCAGTGTGCGAGGGCGGGCGTGGTCTCACCCCTGTGCCCGGTGTGTGAGGGTGGGCATTGTCGCATGCCGAACACCCTGCAGCACTTCTCAGGCCGAGCCCTGCCTCTCTGGCACTGGTGGTGCAGCCGGCCCGGCACAGCCCATGGTGTGTGGAGGGGGCTGAGCCGGGAAGGACAGGGCCCGGGCCTGCCCCTGTGGCAGATGGACACTTCCCCCACAGGCGGCCTGTGGCAGCTCTCTCTGGGGTCCGTGACCTCCCTGCCTGGGTCATTTTCCTGCCCATCCCCACTCCTTGTGGCTCTGTTCCCCGGTCCCACACAAGCGTGGCCATGCTCCTCAATCGGACACCTGGCTTCTAGTGGGCCTGTGCCCAGGCTAACCCCGGGTGTGGAGCCGGCGTCTCGCCTACGCTCAGGGTCAGGCTTTTCTTCAGGGCAGCCTCAGTGTCCTGGGGCCTGGGAGCCCCCTGCCTTCCGTGGGAAGTACCGGCCCCGGTGACGGCCATGCGTCTCAGTCAGCGCTCTTTGTGGGCTAACATTTGACTGAATTTCCCTCTCCGACTCCAGTCCCTCTGTCGCATGTACTCATCCCTGCCTCCTGACATGGCTTTCCCATCTGGGGTGCCCTTCCCCGGGGCACCTCCTTGTGGGCTGTCCTCCGTGTCACGCCGTCCTGTCTGCCACGGCACTCCACGGTCTGTGCTGGCCCTCGCCGTCCGTGGCTGCTCGGAGATGTCTGTGCTCCTGCATCTGTAGGAGGCCGGGTCAGGTCAGTTTTCTGACCATGGATTAAAATGGCCTTTGAGGGATTTGCAGCCCTGCCCGCCCCTCTCTTCTCGGGTGCCCTGTTCTGCTTGACCTTGACCCTGCCGGCTGTTTCTCTGCAATGGGGCTCCCATTCCAGAAGGGACTCTGGTCAGCTTCAAGGGGTCATGAGGTCACTGCAGCCCCCCAGGCCTGTGTGGGATCCCTCTAGAGGGCAGACCCCACCTGTGTGTCTGGGTTCCCTAGGGGCTCACCAGGGTTTCCCTGGGGCTTTCCCACCCTCGGGATGATCTCCTCTTTAAATTCCCCACTTGACAGCATTCTGGGGAAGGGCTGTGGCCCCATGGTTTTGGGTCCTCCCAGAATCCACATGTTAGTCAAACCCCAGGAGTAGCCAGACAGGAGGACCAGAGCCCCCGCTGACTGTGTCTCAGCCCACCAGGCGCAGGGCGAGGTGTTGGGCATGGGGTCTGCTCGCTGCCTCGGCACCAGGGGCTGCAAGGTGGTCTGTGGGCTCTGGTTCCCCCTGGTGTTCCCCTTGGGGGTCCTCCCGGGGTTCCCCTTGAGGGTCCTCCTGGGGTTCCCCTCGGAGGTCCTCCCAGGGCTCCTCTGGGGGTCCCCTTAGGGGTTCCTCCTGGGGTTCCCCTGGGGTTCGCCTGGGGTCCCCGGGGAGCCACGTCCCACAGCCCCCTCCGAGTCCCTCGCTCACGTGGTCGAGGGGGAGTCTGACGTTCAGAGTGGCGTCCCTGCTGCTCCTCCGTGGCAGGAAGACTCTGGCGCCCGTGTCCTCGCTGTCCTTTGTCTTTGCCTTCCTGCCCTGGCACTCGTCCCGGGGGCTGTCTAGTTCTCTGCCGTCTGTCGGACTGTAGGGTCACTGTCTCCCCTGCTCAGATGTGGGAGCAGCGTGCACTGGCCCTTCCCTCCTGAGTCGGAAACCAAGCGTGACTATGGTGGGACTGCGAGGTGTGACTGTAAGGTGTGACCATCCCACGAGACCATGAGGCTTGATGGCGTGCAGATGGAGCGGAGTCAGGGCACTTGGGGACACTCAGCTGCCACGGGCCGCTCAGGGCTTCTCCCAAGCCCTTCCCCGGGGCAGTTTGCTTCCTGGGGAAGAGAAGCCCCACATCGCTGGACCCCTCAGAGGGAACCTGCAGCCACAGCGGGCCCACGTCCCTGGCTCTGCCTTCCACACAGGCGTGGGTGTGTGGCTCCTCAGGGTCAGCCCCCACCCAGGAGCGGAGCCGTGGCTGGCCCTGGTGGAGACAGCAGATGGTCGAGGAGGGGCCTCAGCCCCTGTCTCTGAGTCTTCTGTGAAACTCATCTTTTTCAAGTGGTATTATTTTTTTAGCCCAGACCCAGGTTCAGTGTTCATTTTCCGAACTTACAAATGAGCATCACACGTGTGCGGGCTGGCAGGTAACATGGAGGCCAACATCCTGGATCCTACATTGGCTGACTGTGGTTCGAGTCCCAGACTAGGGCCTTGAAGAACACCTACACATGTGCCCAAAGTCCCAGGAGGAGAGTGGAGGGCCAGGGCCTGTGGCATGGCATGGCCATCCCCTTGGGGGAGTGATTTCTCACTTTCAGGAGAAAAAAAAACAAAAGGAAAGAAAGAAAGAAAAAAGAACGCTCCGTGTCTCCTGCCAGGACTCGAGACAAGCGTGAAGCAACTCTCCAGCGAGATCGCGGAGCTGAGGCAGCACCTGCAGCACTACGACCAGATCCAGGAGCTCACCCGGATGCTGCAGGAGAGCCACAGGTGCTTGGCGGCAGCGTGGGCAGCCCCGGCTGGGGACAGGTGCCCCGCGGGTGCGCACAGACACTGTGAACTCCCCTCTGAGCAGCCTGCGCCACGTGACTGAGAGGCGGGACCGTGAGGTGTGACTGTGAGGTGTGCCGTCAGGCGTGACCTATGAGGCATGACCGTGAGGTGTAGCCATCAGTCGTGATCTGTGCAGTGTGACTGTGAGGTGTGACTGAGCCGTGACCCTGAGGTGTGACCTGTGCAGTGTGACCAGGAGGCGGGACCGGGAGGGGAGGGGAGGGGAGGGGAGGGGAGGTGGCGCAAGAAGGCGCGGGGGCGCAAGAAGGTGAGGTGGCGGGTGGTACATGCCGGGGCGGCGCTCGCTGGGAGAAGTCGGCAGACCCTCTGCCCTGGGTCTAAGAGCCGCGTGCTAAGACAGGGCAGCAGGGTCAAGCGGGGGCCGCCTCAGGAGGTGTTAGCTGCTGGGCAGCGGGCCTCAGTCGGACTCCCCGCCTTGTCCCTCCGCCCTCTCTCCCTCGGCGGAGACCCCTCAGCAGAGACCCCGTGCCTCCCTGACTTGGGTGCAGTCTGGCTGTGGGAGCCACCAGGCTCGGGCCCTTCAGGGCCACCGACCGTGGGGCCGTCATGGCTGCCAAGGGGGCAGGGAGAGAAGGGCTTGACCGTGCCAGGGGCAGGGAGGCCAGGCCAGACCGGATTGCTCCCAGGAACCCCGTGGCAGGTCCAGGTGGGCGGGTGTGCCCCGAGCTCAGCCCCTCACCGATCCTGCTGCCTGTGCGTGCTCAGCCTGTGCCCAGGTGCTACGTCGGAGCCCGGCAAGCGGCCCGCCTACACAGTGGTGTGCCGTGGGTGGCCGTCTTGGTGGGGAAGGTGGCAGAGGCCAGCGTGGCCCTGCCTGGTCTCACACTGGTGGCACCACATGTGTGGAAGTCATTACCGACTGGTAGGCTGTGCAGCTCGGATGTCACAGGCTCAGTGAAGCACAACGGCACTTTTAGAATTACTTTATTTCATTTTAATTATTATTATTGTTTAATTTGACTCAGAGTGGGGGTGGTGTGAAAGCAAGCCACCAGGACCAGGACCGAACCACACTTGGCCGACTGGGAGTCCTCCCGCCGACCTCACAGTGGCACTTTCTAAGGAGCCCATCTCCAATAACGTGGTTAACGAGGTTGACGAGGGCCTACAGTTACTATTACCCTGTCGTAATTGACGGGAACGAGGGTGCTGCTCTCTGCTCTCGGGATCCGCAAAACCGTCCTGGCCGGGTACTGGGGGGCACGCATGTCAGAAACCATCCTGGCCGGGTACTGGGGGGCACGCATGTCAGAATCCGTCCTGGCCGGGTACTGGGGGGCACGCATTTCAGAAACCGTCCTGTCGTTCATGGTGTCAGGTCAGGTCAGTGCCCTCCTGGCCTGGAAAGGAGGACAATGGGCTCCTGGGATGGCAGAAACCGTCCTGGCCGGGTACTGGGGGGCACGCATGTCAGAATCCGTCCTGGCCGGGTACTGGGGGGCACGCATTCAGCTGTCTGCTCGTTCGTTCATGGTGTCAGGTCAGGTCAGTGCCCTCCTGGCCTGGAAAGGAGGACAAAGGCAGTGCCCAGTGGAAAGTGGGAGGTGGCAGGGCCTCGGGGCGCTGGGTGGTGGGCATCCTGGGTAAATCCTGGCCTAGCTGCGGGGTCAGGGCAGCTGTGCCCAAGGCTCAGTGATGGGCTGGCCGGGCAGGACCTCAGGAAGCGTCAGCCTGTTGCTCTCCTCTGTCCCCAGCTCCCTGGTCAGCACCAACGAGCACCTGCTGCGAGAGCTGGGCCAGGCGCGGGCGCAGCACCGGGCAGAGGTGGAGCAGCTGCACTGGAGCTACCAGGAGCTCAAGAAGACCATGGCCCTGACCCTGCATGGCAGTGCCGGCCCGGGTGGCCGCCCAGCTTGCTGACCGCCAGGCAGGCCTACCCACCTACAGTCACCTCCCTGGCCCACGGACTCCCACCATGGAGGGCCTGCTGGTGGGCGCTTGCACTTGGGACCTGCAGCCCTGAGTTCTGGAGTCCCTGAGTGGCGGGTACCCAGAGCCCGTTAGTTCTTCACGGGACCCCTCGAGAGAGCTACGTACCATAGTTAAGGACTTGGTGCGTGTGATTTCTTATGTAATGAACTAACGGTGTTCTGAAAAGTTAGCTTTCTAACTGGCTGTTTATAAACTGTTTATAAACAGTTTCTCTCGATTGTTTTATTAAAGCTATGCGCCATAGTAGTTGAGGAATAAAGAAGTTCTAAGATTTACTAAAAGTAACACATAAAGATGTAGACAATATTTATAAGACTCCTTTTATGCTATTAACATATCATAGTAAGAACCGCCCCCCAAGCCTCGGCTCCTCTGCCTCACCTGAGGGTGCCGCCGCAGGTCGGGAACCCACCTTACATGGAGCTGCTTTCTGGTAAGCCCGGCGGCCTGTGCGTGCACTGTGGGGTGTGTGCATCAGCGCGGGGCTGCGGAGAGGAAGCCCGGGGAGTCCCCTCTCCTCTTGGCATTGGAGCACACGCCGCCCAGTGTGTCTTACCAGGCAGTCAGCCATGGGGATGCAGCACCGGAACCACTGTGCCGCCGGCCGGCCCACAATGGTTCAATTTAGGAAGAG